TTCTCCTAAGAGTCCATATGTCTACAACATGTACAGACCTACAGTAGACTAGTGGAAATAAGGGTAAGTCCCAAGGTGAGTCACGTACAGAAACAGGTTTGCAGTTCAACTTGCCTTATTAAGTATCATGACTTTTTAAAACATACTGCAGCCATTTTCAAAGCAAATAACACTTGAGAATGCCATCTTTGATATACTCTTAAGTACTCGTGTGTGCATGCATATGTGCACATATATACATGCACACACAGACACACATTACAGACGCTCATTATATAACTTGTGCTCAGAGCCAGGTCTATCAGCATGCCTAAGCAACTCATACATAATCATCAGTGTTTAATAATAAAACAGTGAAAGTGACCATAAGACTGTTATAAATTAAGAAACTCACATACGTCATTGTAACTTGGAATTTTTAGCCTGAAATGAAGTGAGAAAGAACAAACTTAAAAAAAAAATTACAAGCCAAAAACACTGGTCACTACACCCACTGAAAGGATCCAATTTAAAACTTAAACATCATCCTATTAGAAGGGGAAATGAAAAGCTAATATGCATTGATGTCTACATAAAACTAGCAGAGAGAAACCTAACGATGAATATAAAGCAATGGTTTGCATTTTAACAGACTAAGCAAAAATGTAATAGACAAAGAAGCAAATCTAAATGAATTTCCAGCTATTTTAACACTAAGTGCAGCTGCATGATAACTGTCAGTGTTATGAATTAGAAAAGAAAGTCTACGCTGAAAATTCAAAAAATAAATGCCGCCAATATGTGAACTCACACAGTATACTGATATTAGCATTCATTCAAAAAAGATATTTTCTCAAAAAAGTAGCTTTAAAGCAAGAAAATATTTAATCTCAATTTACTTCATATTGATTGGAGAAAAAAGCATATGGGGGTAAATGAAAAGATTAGTGTTTCTGGGAGACGTACTTACCATTCCTGGAATCAAGTCAAGAATAAAAACACCTGTTTTCCAGAAGTAGTGAATACAAAATATTTCATTCAAATCCACCAAGAGCAATGCTAATAACTTACAGTTTATAGTTAACATTTCACTAAAATGTCTGTCATTCCACTGTAGCAATAAATAATCCCTTGTACTAAAATGAACACACGAGTACCTTCTATAGGAGTTGAATTCATAGCACACAGCTTCTCAGTGGCAGTTCTGTGAGCTCCAGTTCTGGCAACCACCTTCCTGGGTTCAAATCCTAACTCTCCTATTTCCTGCTCTGTGATGAACAGATCACCGAACCACACTGTACTCACTCCTTTCATCTTCGTATAAAGACAATAGCACCTATCTGTAGGCTCACTGTGAGAGCTGCATGTTTCCACATACCCAAGGAAGTCTGACCAGGGCCTGGCACATATTCAGTAACTGTGAGCCCTTGTTATTGTTTTCAATCAATACAGCAACAGACACAAAGACCAGCAGAATAAAAAACCCAGCCAAGTACCTGTTGCTCACATCTGTAATCCTACCTACTCAGGAGGTAGAGATCAGAACAATTATGGTTCAAAGCCAGCCTGGAAAATAGTTTGCAAGACCTTATCTCAAAAAAACCCATTTAAAAAAAAAGGCTGGTGAAGTGGCTTAAGGTATAGGTCCTGAGTTCAAGCCCCAGTACCACAAAAAAAAAAATTAAAAAATTAAAAAGCCAGAAATAAACTCACATAGCTACAGCCATCTGATTTTCAACAAAGACACCAAAAACATGTTGGAGAAAAGTCAGCCCCTTCAATAAATGTGTTAGAAAAACTGGTTATTCACATGTAGAAGAATAAAACTACTCCCCTATGTCTCACCCTGTACAAAAGTTAATTCAAATGGATCAAAGATCTAAATGTAACTAACACCTAAAACTGTGCAACTGCTAGAGGAAAACAGGGAACACCCTTGAAGATATCATAGGTGATGCCTTCTTAACTAGGACTCCAATTGCTCAGGAAATAAGAGAAAACATTGACAGATAAGATTGTATCAAATTAAAAGGCTTCTGTACAGCAAAGGAAACAATGATCAGAAACAAAGGGACTAAACCTATAGAACCTACAGCTGTTCCCTGAATAAAGGATTAAGATCCAGAATATATAAAGAGCTCCAAAAGTTAAATGCCAAAAGAATAAGCAATCCAATTAATAAATGAGCAAATTAATTGAACACAGCTCTCAAAAGAAGTACAAATTGCCAAGAAATACATGAACAAGTTTTCCAACATCTTTAGCCATAAAGGAAATGCAAATCACAATGACCTTTTAGAAGGTTATCTCAATCCGGTCAGAATGGCCATCAAGAAAACAAACAACAACAAATGCTGGGGAGGACATGGGGAAAAGGAACTTTCATACACTGTTGGTAGGAATGCAGCCAAAAGAAATCAATAAAATTAGAACTACCATATGATCCTACTATACCACTCCTTGGCATATATCTGAAGGCATGTAAGTCTCATTACAATAGAGATACCTGCAGGTCCATGTTTACTGCAGCACTATTCACAATAGCCAAACTAGGCAATCAGCCTAGGTGTCCATCAACAGATGAACAGAAAAAAAAAATGTGGTGTATGTATACACAATGGAGTATTATTCGGTCATCAAGAAGAATGAAATTATGTTGTTCACAGGCAAACGGATGGAACTGGAGGTTAAGCAAAATCAGCCAGTCTGAGAAAAGGCAAGTATCACACGTTCTCTCTCATATGTAGAATCTAGACTTTTTTTTTAATTACACTAGTGTAAACTGGGGACTGTTTGGGGGTGGAAGCCAGCAGGAATAGGAGGGGAAAGGAGCAGGTAAAGGTGGGGATGAATACGATCAAAGTACTGTATATACATGTATGAAAATAGAATAGTGGAACCCATTAAAATTGTTTTTAACAGGAGGTAGGGGAGATAAGAAAGAGTAACAGAAGGGGTGGATTTGATCAAAGGACATTATATACACATGTGGAAAATCACAATGAACCCTTTTGTACAATTAATATATGCCAATAATAAAACTGAAAGAAAAACGAATAAGAGGGGAAAAGAAGATGGTGGCAAGTATGCTCTGATTTGGCTTGTCCCTAGATGTGACGAGAGTACCATCATCTGCCACTTTCCTTAGCTCCTCTTTGGTAGGCAGGGATCATGGGAATACCTCTGGCTACTCTTCAGTAAAGGCAAGGGCTGGGATGTAGCTTGGTGGTACAGAGCTTGCCTAGCATGCGTGAGGCTCTGGGTTCGATCCCAGCACCAAAAAAGAAGACAAAAAAAAAAAAAACCTCTCCCCTCAGTAAAGGCAAATTATGGGTGAGAAACTGAAGCAACCCTGCCTTCATAGATGGCCACACAATTGACTCTCCAATAGAATGAGGCACCACTCCTCCAACTGTCTTAGGATGTGCTTTGAGATCTTGGCATATTTTCTCCACAAAGGATGTCTTGGTTACTAGTCATGCACTTAACTTTGCATCTGATCTTTGTCCAGATCCCTGGGAATATACCAAATGTTTTATTTATCCTTATATTTTCCAAGGCCATGCAAAGAGAGGGCACAAAATCAGAGATGACAGAGAAAAACTTCATTCTTCCCCTTTAATTTACTGGAAGTTCCAACCTCTGAATAGAAGGACAAAAGCCAAGTCTACAGGCATCTTGGCAGAGTGACAAGTCACAGAAGAAATGTGAATTCCCACAAAATAAACGCACCAAGCCCAAGCTCCTCCACACCCGTTCAAGTCCAGTCATACTGTGACAGGCCTGGCATTCCTGACAGAGGATAAAGGGAAGGAAATGGGGGAGAATCCCGTACAAACTCTGATTACAAAGGAGGAAGAGAGGGCTGTGCCAAAGTGCAGTGGGGAGAGTCACCCTAGACTCCAAGGAACTGAAGGGTGCCTCCTGCTACTTGCAGAGGAAGTGGGAACTGGGTGGCTTTCAAGGACCCAGGTTCTCAACAGGACCTAGGCAAACATTACCAGAGTAAAGATGAAGTCAGAGTGACATCAAGTTCTTCCAACACTTGGTCTTACTTGACTTACCCATGTTCCTGTGTTCCATCTACTTTATCAGGTCCTTGAGACCTCAATCTCAGAAAGACTTGCTGCCCAGAGAGGATCTATCTGCCAAACTCAGGAATACTGTAGCTACGTTTAATCCCAGTTATTTCTTCCTAAGTTACTTGAATTTTATTATGATTGCTAAGGCAATGAGTGGCTCTATGCTTTCTTCAGATGGAGTTGACCCCAAGGCAAGCACAATCCACATTTGGCAAGCTGTTCTTACACAAGATACCACACTTCATCTGTGGATCTAAAACCTCCTATTTTCACATTAAATGTCTAAAACATAAATTAGACTTTAAAATAATCTGAACAAATTAATTCTCTCAAATCCTAAATACCACAGGGAGACAAAAACCCTTTAAACTTCAAAGGAAGGAACCTAGTGGAAAAAGTGGTCAGAAACCTCAATTTTGGTCTAGTGGTCACTACTAACTTACCAGTAACCACAGAGATGTCATTTGAATTTCCTGGTCCCCAGTCTCTAATGGTAAAGTTAATGGTTTTGATAGCTATCTAAGGTAACTTTCAACTCTAAAATTTCATGATCCATTAGTCATTCTCAGTTCAAGTACTTTTGGACATCATGATAGCAAAAGTGCAATTTGCAGCTATAAATGACTATGAACTACACGATTGAAGACATGAAGACGAACTTTTAAAATTAATGTGGCACGAGTGGGAGAAAGACAACAAAGAATGATATAGAATTGGACACTTTTTCCTTTGGTCATTTATTCTGGGCTATCTGATCTAATACCATTAATTTCTTTTTTTTTTTCTCCTTACACTGTAGTACATCAAATTCAAACATGTGAAGAGTAGGGCTCTAACCACAGACTGAATGTGACCTTTTGGAGGTCAAATGGGGAAAGCTAGCAGTGGAGAGCTGAGCACGGGTCCTTGCCGGGTCCCTGGGGGAGACGTCCCCTACACTCACCTCCACCAGTTGGTCCAGGCTGGAAATCTTCTTGAGCCCATCAATGGTGTAGATTGTTCTCACTCCCTGGGGCAAATTGACGTTATCCGACAGAGTTCGGGTCAAATCAGCCAGCAGGGCCTCAAAGGATCTGAAGCGGTCCGGGGAGATGGCGTACACAATTCCTTTGAAGTACCGGTCTCCATTGCGGTAGAAGCGCACCTTCTTGGCTTTCTTCTCGGAGCTGAGTGTCTGCAGCGTGCGGGTGCGGTAGAAGCTGCAGTGGGCGCTGTGCGTGGGGCTTGGCAGGCCGTTCACCCGCGACCCTCTGCTGTACCTCTGCGCCTTGTCCCGCTCATCGAAGTGTTCCAGCTCCATGTCTCTGCCGAAAGACATGATGGATTGCAAAAGGAACCTGTGGGCCGCAGAAACACAGACAGACACACAGCCTGGGGTTATTGGAAGATTGAGGCTCCAAAGGTTCTGCTTGAGAACAGCGAGGTGGAAATATTGCTAGAACTGATGCTATATTTCATATGAGTTTTCAAGTGGGAAGAGAAAGAGGAGGAGAACAAGGAAGAAAGCGAAGAGGCAGATCCCAGTGGAAACAGCTTATTAAGCCAACCACAGTTTGACTAGAAACAGCACCTATGTATTGGCTGCCTACCACCTAGGAAGACACAGTTACACCCTTCCTAATAGTTCAAGCTATTATTGCCTCTGTTTACAGACAAACTGAAGCACAGAAAATTTTTCTCTTAAGGTTCTCCAAGTAATACAGTTGAATAGTGTTTGAATCAGAACCCCCAACCCCACCCCAGGATTAGCTCAAAGTGTGCTAATCGTGGGAGCAGGAAGAAAATAAATCTTCATATCATTATACAGCTAAAGTAAGTAGTGGACCAGAGGAAAAATGAGGGCAGACAGCAGTAACAGGCTGTAAAAGTTTTATGTACACTTCTTATGGCCAGGTGGAGAGCAAATTAAACCAATCCTTAGATTCTGTTCACTCAGGGAAGACTTTCTAACATGTGCATGCATTCTGTATTTTTTAAAGTGAGTTCACCTTTAATTCATTTACTTCCATTTAGTGCTTCAGGTAAGTTGGGTTTAAAAAAAGACATCAACAAAGGGAGAGTCAAGGAAAAGGAAGAAAACAACAAAAGAAAAAATTTACTTCTTTGACTAGCTTTGTCCATCCACCTAAGGATCTCTCTGTCTCTGTGGTTGAGAAATCAAGGCTTCAAACTTCTGATCCAGACTTGACCCTAGACTGTCCATATAACCTTGAAAAATCTACTTGATCTACATCTTCAAGCCTCAATTTCCTCAATCACAATCTAATTTATTAATTTCAATTATTAAATAAATTAATGCACATTGAACAGTGTCTTACATGTGACAAGTATTAATTTTTTATTAATAAACTCTGCACCTCCACAGTCCCCATTCCACTTTCTATGGAGCCTTGTTAACAGCAGGCTGCCTATGGGATCAATTCGTTCTTGTTTGGAGTTAACTGATAGATGTTGGGGTGTTACCCCTTAGAGAGGATCAGTGTTTAAACACAACAAATTGAAAGAGGAAAAATCTCCACAAAGGAAAAATGTTAATGACAAAATTTTAGGCACAGTGAAATATAATATAAGGGAAGTGAGAATTTGAGATAAGAACCTTACAAGTAACTCCCAAGTCCTACCACATGAATGATGTCACCTTTCTGAAAGTCAGCCAAAACTCAACAGAAGTACTGCTGTGTCTTCCTGACCTATCATTGACCCTCAGTAAACTGACCTCTTAGCCATTCAGAATGGGTAGAAATTTTACATGTCAGTTAAAAACATAAATCTTTTTTATTAAAAAATTCATGCTGAAAACATGGCTAGAGATTTAGAAGTCCTGAAATGAATGGTGTGAAAGAAAATAATATTTATGGAATGTGTAGGATGTACCTGACACTAGAATTCAGCAATAAGTTGTATAATTTGCCAAAAAAAATCCTTCTGAAACTCACATGAATCAAACAAGGTAGTTAGTTTTACCAAGATTTATCCAAAGTCCCGAAATTATAACTGAAGGAGTTGGTATTTCAACCCAGATTTACTGTGACTCCAAAGTTGGTACTTTCTGTCCCTGGCCCTGTGAAGCTGGCCCCTTATCCATGAGTATTTCTAGTTCATTAATCTCAAAATTTTTTGAACAACTGAACATTTTAAAATTGCACTAATAGAGACATGCATATGAAGGAGGAGTTTTTAAATCTCTACACTTACCTACTGAGTGATCTTGGGGAGGCTACTTAACAAACCACAACCTCCTCTAATGCTGACCACAATGAGAAACCCTCCAGGGTTGGGAGTACAGTATGATTAAAACCTGGAGACCTGGAGAGAGTGAGTTCAGGGATTTTTCTCTCTAAATTTTAAAATCACCTCTCTTGCCTCTTAATAACTTATCATATCTAATTTTGCATTTTTCTGAAAGTTATATCAACTATGAAACGGTTTCATTGATTTTGAAACTAGATAACTTAAAACCATTATCACTTGGTGTCCAATCCTAAAGGCACTAGTGTGTAACAAAACCAATATTTTGCCCATATCAGTAACTACTTCTACCTCATTTATATATTTGTTAAATGAGCTCTCTTATCTTCCAAAAGGTGGTAGACGGTGGGGCAGACAGTATTGCTAGTGCTTAAGCCAACTCTCTAAGTTTTTCAAAATTTTATAAGTGATGAAGGAGGCCAAGTTGGCTTTTGGAGGGTTTTGTTTTCTTTCTAAGGGGTCATTTTTCAATTCCTATGACTTTTCTCCCAACTGATAGCAACTAAAAGAAAACAAGGACAGTGTAGCAAAGGACAGCACAGTTGTGTTCACAGAGAGAGTGCAAATTCAGTTCCAAGAGGCCTTTAGTGATTCACAACTGGGAAAGGACAAATACTGTGGCAACTGTTTGAATTCTCTACAGGGAACAGACTTTCAGGAACAAGAATTCCATGCCAAATGAAAAAAAAATCAATTTAAAATAGAGAAAAGTTTGTTTTACTTTACTGGACTATTTCCTCAAGCAGGATCATTATCCAGGGTAGGAATCACACCTTTTCCTTCCCTTCACTGAGCCTGTCCCAAAGGAGGCATTTAGCTACAACTAAATGAATGTCAAAACCCACACTTCACATCCCAGTGTTCAGCACTGGTGCATCTTATTTCCCCAGGCTCAGCTGTCAGTGGGCTTAGTCATACAGGAGAACCCCGAGCTCCTGAAGAGGATTCTCTGGGCATCCACAGGTTCATACTTCCTGCATGGAAGGCCTGCTAGCACACAGAGCGTCAACATTCATAGAGCATGGGTGGCTCAGGGCCTGGGGACACACATGCAACTGCACCAAGAGGGTAACCACAGCGCCTTGGCCACAGAACACTGGGTGGGGACGAAGGCAGGGACTGGCTCTTATCAGAGATTTTCCTATAATTACTGCCATGCCAGGAAACCAACATGCACGATTGTTCTTTGTGGGATTTCTCACCATTTTGAGGAATCTCTGTGTTCATTGCACTCTCTCTGTAGATGAGCACATGGGTTCCTATTTCAGAAATTTACGAGCAAACACACACACACACACACACACACACACACACACACACCCCAAGATAGAATCTAGCATAAATGCTACCACATCTAAATAGACAGGGGACTTGGAAGTCCTGGGCATATTTGAACAGTGAGATCAGAATTCAGGTGGATGGAGGAGCATGGAATAAAAGGCACACACGTAGCTTCTGAGCCCGTACATAGCACTGATGTACATGTGACAGGGTGTGCTCATATCTTTTATAATTTTCCTACATATGACCTCTCTTGAAATCCTTTCTGGAAAGCATTCATAGAACATTTCATACTTAAAACGTTGCCCTACTTTTCCTTTCCATTGAAAGGCGATATATTTAGGAACAGTCATGACACGTATTCACGGAACACCCTGCAGGGAGGCGGCTGAGAGCGTGTGTACCTTAACCTGGACACACATTCTCAGGCGCAGCAGAAAGGGAGCAGGTTTGAATGAAACCTTTCATTGCCCTCTCACCCACAAACAGCTCCTTGCCAAATCCAGCAGAGATTCCGCTCAAACCTGGTTTTCCAAAGCAGCCTCTTTTGTGGGGGCAATGCGGGGCTGTGCGTGCGCTCCCACTAGGAGGAAAATGCCATTTCCTCTCTGCATGCTTTTAGCACTGCAGGTACTAATTTGTACAAGGAGGCAGCCTCGCTGTCCCCAGAGGAACTTGAGACCCTGCAAACGGACTTGCAACACCCACACCGCCGCCGCCACCATGCACGGGTCGTCCCCATCGTTAAGTACATATCACCCTCCCGGGCACACGGGAAAACACACACACAATAAGAGGCCAGGCCCCGGCCACTCCTTCCAAGCGGACTTGGTCTTCGCTCCGCAGCCAGTGCTGACAATGACAAGCACCTCTGCTAGCTCCTTCGTCTGGCTCTCCATCCCCACAGACAACGTGGCGAAAAGCCGGGGGCCCCCGCTCGCCCCACTCCCCAGTTTAAAGCCGGGTGGCACCAGACAAAAGAGGCAGGTGCCAGCAGCCGTGGGGCGGCCCGCACACAACGCCCCCGGCCGGGGCCAGGCTGGCCAGGGCAGGGCAGCCGCTTTCGAGGAACGGTGGGCAGGGCGGCTGCGGCCAACCTGGGCGTCCGCCCTGCCCTGGGCGCCCCGCGGCTGCGGGCGGGGAGAGCGCTGCGGGGCCCCGGGGCGACCCTCCCCGCAGCCCCCGTCCCCAGCTAAGGCTAACCACGCACCGTTCCCGGAGAGTCGCCGCCGGGGGTCTTTGTGGCCACGCTCGGGGCCGCCTCGCGGACTGAGCTGTCCTCGCCGGGCTGGGCGCGGCCGGGGCTGCGGGGCGGCGGCGGGGCCGGACTGGGCGGCAGCGGCTGCGGGAGCACGGGCGTCTCGGAGGCGGCCGCTAGTGCGGGGATGCGCCTCGGCCCGTCCTCATTGAAATGCGGCGCTTCGCACAGCCTCACTCCAGCCTCTCTCCGGAGGAGGGCGGCGGCGGCGGGCGCGCTCCCTTTTCTTGTGTCTCACTCGCTCACACGCCCTCCCTTCTCCCTCCTTCTCCTCTGCGCGCGCCCCGGCCCCCCGCCCTTCTTGGCAGGGCGCACCCACCACGGCTGCGCCCCGGGTCCTCCTCCCGCCCTGCTCCCGCAGCGGCGACCTCAGGACGTCCGGCTTACCTAACCCCCAGCGCTCCCCAGTTCCCAGAAGTGGTTGTCTGGAGATTGGGGCAGCTCTGATGGCGGCCCTGGGATGGGTCTGAGCCAGGATGTGTGCAGGGCAGAGAGGTGAGGTGGTCCATAAGTGAGACACATTTCCTCAAAGGAGATAAGGGAAACAGTTTCTTTCCTCCACCTACCCCCTACACCTTCTGATGTGGCCTCATGGTTTGACACCTTCCCAGAGTTGTGGAAGCCAGTGGGATCACCCCATATCACTTCTTGCCCAGTATGCACTCTCCCAGCTCTGGACCTTTCCAAGCTATGTGCTTTTGTTACCCTCACCCGCCCAATCCCAAAGGGTCAGATCTGCTCATGGAGCCCACCCGTCAGCTCCACTTAACCCCAAGACCAAGAAGTGAATCACCCTTGAAATAGCAATCTCTGCTTAGAACCTTATTTCACATAAGTCCTTGATAACTTAAGGGCCTCAGCTGCCAAGGCTGGAGGTCAGGATGGAAAGCCCCATGAGCTCACAGGAACCTTTCCTCCCAGGGCAAGAATGTTCTGGGAGTCCAGGCGTTCACAGCTTCCTCAGTCTGCTCCAAAGTCAGTCCCAGATTTCTGAGACACCTCAGCCTGGCTCAGTATGCAGCCTGAATTTTGGTCAGTTAACCTTTCGATCCTGTCATTAGGATGTGTTCATCCCACATACACATACATATACAAAGACACATATTTTCTTCCTGCATCTACACTGTTTTTAATTAGCATGTACTAATCGTACAAAGGGGTTTCATTGTGATATTTCTATACATGCATATAATTACTTTGGTTATATTCACCTCCGCATTACCCTTTCATTTTACCTTCCCACTGGTTGACACAACCTCCCAATGCCCTAAACAATCTCCCTTTTACACTCATTCATTTGCTTTTCAGATTCTACATAGGAATTTTTCTAAGTCTGACTTATTTCACTTCACATAATGATTGCCAGTTCCATCCACTTTCTAGCAAATGACATAATTTTATTTTTCTTTATGGATGAATAATACTCCATTGTGTACATATATTACATTTTTTTATTCATTCATCCACTGATAGGCACCTAGGCTGATTCCATGGCTTAGCTATTGTGAACAGAGATGCAATAAACATGGACGTGCAGGCAATCCTACTATGTAGACTTACATTCCTTCAGATATGTGCTCAGGAGTGGTATAGCAGGCTCATATATAGTAGTTCTATTTTTGAGCTTTGAGGAACCTTCATAAATGATAATACAATTAGTAAATGGGAAAATGAATTGAAACTTTCTAAAAAAAAAAGAAGTACAAATGGCGAACAAATACATGAAGAAATGTACAACAGCCTTAACCATAAAGGAATTGTAAATTAAAAGAATATTGAGATTCCATCTCACCCTAGTCAGAATGGCTGTGATCAAGGAAACAACAACAAATGTTGGCAAGGATTCAGAGAGGGATGGGAGGAAGGGATCCTCATACACTGCTGGTGGGAATGTAGATAAGTGCATCCACTGTGGAACTCAGTTTGGAGGTTCTTGAGCTGTACTTTTCATTGGAAAAATCAAAATTTTGTTTTTCTCTTGTCCCTTGATCCTGGTTATGTAATTTGCTACTTACTATTAATAAGAGCTATTCTGAAATACTTCCAAAGTATTAAGTACATACTAAATAATCAGCTTTGTTATGTAGCTCAAAATGAGATGCATGTTACATATTCAACAAGTGATGCAATATTTATTTTTGAGCTATCTAATAGCCCAGGGATGAGAACAGAATGAACTCACCAAATTAACTAAATACAACATACTGAGCAGTTCGCCTCAAGTCCTTGTGTGAAAATGAAGACCGAGGGGTAAGTTAAGAGAATGGCAGAAGCCAAGTCTGTTCTCTTGAGAAGAGAAATCAGAGCTTCTTTTTATCTTGCTAATGGCAAATGCCAAGTGATTTCTGCCAAAATTTTAAAACAAGAAATAAATTCCACCTCTTCACCCCTATGGATATTCTACTAGGGTCATTTCTTAAGCATTTTATGTAACTCAACCATGTCTTACCTCTGTCCTAGCTGTTCCATCCAGTACATGCATATAATGTGTGCAAAGAGACAACTTTGTTTCAGCAAAGTGCTCCCAAATAGTTGGGCAACATTAACCCTCTCAGGAAACCAGAGGGAAAGTAAAAATCAAGTAGATGAGAACACTAAATCGCGCCCAATGGCCCCTACACTGTGACCATATCATTCTGTCCAGACAGCAGGCTAGTACCCAGTAACACGGCAGAAGTAAATGCTGTTTACAGAAGTGTTAGTTCATAGTCAATAATAATTTCTAATTGAAGTGAAACTGACCCAAGAAACTTCTAATTCAAGTAACTTTTTAAAAATTGATTTTATTTCCTTTAAATCATGAAAGTATTGATGAAAGAAGTAACTGGAATTAATACATCAGTTTTTTCTCATGAAAATAGGAAGTTGCTGGAGCTCTTACTCTAGTTCCCAAAAGCTAATGCTTATTTAAACTGTGAACCCCAATTGCTGCTCCAAGCGGCTACAGCTCTCCATCTGACAAGATGAAGGTGACTTGCCACAGCTCTATCAGGGGCTACCGATAACCAAGTGCTTGCTTTTTGATTGATGCCCGGGGGACTTTTATTTTTTATTTCATTCTCATGAGAACCATGCAAGGTAGGTATTATTATCCTCACCCTAAAGAGGAAGGAATTTAGACATACAGAAGTCATGTCCTTTGCTCATAATCATACATCTAATAAACATCAAGCCGAAATCCAAATCTTCAAAAATCCTTATGTTTTAAAACCCAAGTTAGTTTTCCAGTTGCCATGGTCATATGTTTATAAAGCAATGCCAAACTCTAGTGTGCAATATATTCTTTTTTGGAAAATTCAGTCTTTTAATAATAGATTTATTACTTCATAACAGAGTGAACAACTCTGCATTGTGAACACTGTTTCATTTAGCAGCACGTACCATTAAATGTGTTTACGTTGAGTTAAACTTCTCATGAGACCATTTGTACTTTGACCTCTGATACAATGTTGATGGACAACTTTGTACTTCTTTTCTAAAAGTAAGTTTTTGGTGCAAAGAAGAGACAGAGAACCAAAGAACAACCATTTAGTTGATCATGTATCTCTTTTCAGGCACTTCTTATTTCCTTCTTCATAGAAAACAACATTCAATCATATAGATTCAAATAGAATTCCAGGATAAGGGATATTAGCTGGAAGAGATGCACTTCCTATTAGTTCCTCTAGGGGGAGAATTTACTCTGGCCCATTCATAATCTCTCCTTAGTGGTCAAGAGCATGCAGTGCTTCTGCTTTAGGATGTGGTACATTTTTAGTGGCTGCCACAATTATGAGAATCAGTTTCATAGAATACTCATTATTCTAATTACCCTTTGTATCTCTTCCAAAATGAGAAAGTCTTTTTATGACATTACCTGTCGTTTACCAAATTCTCTTAATCACAGAACACTTTCTGTCTTCTACAGGAATCACAGAACCTCAATGATGAGGGACCTTAGAAGCAGCTGTCCGATTTTTACCCGCTGCTTGTAGTCCTTCCATGACAAGTGGTCTTTCAACCTCTACTCTGATGTTTCTAAAGTCGGCACAAATGGCAAAGAAAAGTAAGTAAAAGAAAAGTAAGATCATGCCTCTGAGAGTTAGGCTAGATCAGGGAATTCTAGACATAGTAGATACTTTTTAAAAGTAATTACTTTAACTGGTTGTTTATCTCTGGATTGGCATTTCAAACATGCTGAGGTCCAGACTACCAGGTGCAGGTTTTGGATCTGCACAAAGGAACAAGGGTCCCTACTGCCCTGATATGCCCTCTGTAAAGTGACAGCTTCCAAAGCTCCTTTCTCCCTTTCCTAAGTGTAGCTATAGTAAAGGGGAGCTCTACACAGTCCTCTCCCCTGCTGGAGAGCTCCCCAAATTCAACTGAGATCCATTTTCTTGAAATTTTCCTGTTGGTACCAGGTCTTCTAATTAAGCAAGAAGAGAACAAGTCTAATAGCTCTCCTGCCTTTCGCTGGACAGCTCCATGGTAGTCTTCCATATTGGATTCCTAATTAACTAGTAAAACCTGGCCTTTCAATTGCTTCTCATATGACATGGTTTGGAATCCCCACAGCAGTGTGACTGTCAGTATGTCCTGTACATCTGCCTCTCAGAAGTGGAGATGGCAGGGGAAGGGTGGTCTGTCCAAGCCAGCTCTCTGACTTCAGTGGGTACTGACAGACTGTTTCTCTGAAAGGAATCTAGCACTAAATTATCGTTGACAAGCATGCCATGGTATGGACTAAGTCAGTCAATTAGGATCTCTATGCTTTTCACATTTCTTGCTCTTAAATTTCCTCATTTTGTATTTTCTTAATTACATTTGGGAAACCCCAAATTTTTCTCATTTTTATTTTCTCAATTACATTTGGAGGGCCCACGTCTATTACTCTCTCTGAATTTTTCTTTATTAAGTTACATGCTGTTATTCGATCCCCCTTTCTAACCTGTTGAGTGAGATCCTTTTGGATGCTAATTAGGTCACTTTGAACATGAGTGGTCCGTTTAGCTTCTCATCAGTACAATGAACACTACACCAAAATCAGCATCCTTGGTTTCTGATAAAAGCTTTCAAGAGGAACATGGTCTAACCAGCTCTATCAGCTCATGGTCCATGGTCACCAACTGTGTGTAGGTGGAAAATTGATGGCCACTTGGGTAACTT